ACCAGGTCTGAACCAGGACTATATCAGGACTAAATCAGGGCTAGATCAGGATTAAACCAGGACTAAACCAGTACAAAACAAGCATTAATGACTGACCAAAGCATGTTCCAAACCAGGACCAAGACCAGGAATAGACCAGAACTAAACCAGAACTAAACCAGGACTAAACCAGGACTAAACCAGGACTAAACCAGGACTAAACCAGGACTAAACCGGGACCAAATAGTTCATCCCTAAATCCCATACATTTCAGAACATGTTGTAATTGTATAAATCATGACAACACAACTCTACTCATGACTTTGTTGAAGAATTGTGTTCCATTGTTGCATTGTGTAACTTTTCCAGTGGAGGGTCTCCCAGTAGCTTACAGGTCAGATCCGTGGACGGGCGGGTCCGCTCTCAGAAAAATGCTTATTTGCAAAAGTATTTTAGCTATAAAAACAACATTAATTGAAAACAGGATAAAGATGTACATTTAATACCATACTGTGAAATATTCCAGGGGTAGCAACAACATCTCCATGGTGGCAACACCCGACCAGAAATGTGACATAGTGCATCTTTAAAGCGCTCAAACGTGGGAATGTAGAGCAACAGAAATGATGGCTCTTGTTTGTGAACTTCTGGATCTACTTCAGCTGCTGTTGTGTGCATGTGTGTATCTGTGTGAAAGTGCCTTTACAATGCACTTAAGAGTACTTCTTCACATTTTATCATTTGACTTCCTGCTTTAACACCGGTAGCAGATATATAACACACATAGAGGTAATTCCAGTTCGACAGCTGGTGTCATTAAGAAGTTGCTGATACAATACATACCTCGATACACACAGTGCACTTTCAATTCAGTTTGATATATTTCAAATCAGTTCGATATGATTCAATAAAAATAAAGTCTAAAACATGTCTGTGATACTATAAGTCTTTGTTTAACCACTTCTTGTGCAAAGTTCATATGAAACACAAACATTTTAATCATCAAAACAGTGAAAATGTCTAAACAAAAAACACAACTGTAGCTGTAACAAAATAATTTAGTGAAATATACTAAAAAATACTCTTGGCGATATCGATACAGCAGCCCACGATATCAATACTGTATCATCACATTAAACAATATGATATATCAATATTTTGATATTTTTGCACCCACCTTTCCAGTTCTGCTCTAGCAACTATAACTTGTTAACCAAAACTTGTCTAAATGACACAATAGTTATGATGAGACTAAAAAAATAAATGACTACACCTTTATTTAAACCGGGGGTGGGCAATTCTTTTTTCCATGGGACCACATGAAAAAACAGAAAATATTGTGGAAGCCAAAATGCTTAACTCATTTCTCTGGTAAAAGTTTGTTCCGACTCAGCAATGAAAAGGTGAGGTTGCCTTACAAAAAAATGTCATTTAAAAAGTCTCTTCTAAAATAAAAGCAATGCAGCTTTAGTCCATGCATGACATCAAATGATAAAATGTGTTTATTTTGTAATTCCAAATGATCTTAAATGGCCTATCTGATGCAAAACTCAACTTTTCAATTGTCCAGGAACTGGACAATGCCCAGGTCTGATTTAAACATTTAATCAATGTTTAAGCTGTCAGAAAAATGCCTTCCTTTTGAATAAATTATCTCAGAATTTTGGGTGGACTTTTCTGTGTTAATGACAGAGACAAGTGGTTCTGTTTTAGATCTCAGTGCTACTCCGAGTGTTTTTGTACTTTTATTTTCAACTTTTTTCCACAAACTGCCACTTCACTGATGTCAAACTTTGATGAATATTCAGCGCTGGTACTGTCCACCAAATCAAGTCAGAATTAGAAAAACATGAAAATCTGTCATGTTTACTTCAAAATAATAGGCCTATTGTGGCATGTTTTCTCTGCTGCTTGTACTTTTCTCCACAGCCTCTGCTCAGACCCATAGCTGAGCTGGCACCTGACCGCAGCACCAGCATGTATCCCTCCTCTTTTCATGCACGGCTTTGTGTAGAAGTAGTCCCGGCGGCACAGTGGCCAGTCCTGTCACATCCCTGGACAGCCCTGTGATCATATGTGTGGCATTACTAATTCATCTTGGCCTACTTTATTTGATTTGACTGCACCACTTCGCAGATCGCTTCTTCCCATAAGCCAAAGAAAAGGCGTTATGACAACTGCTGTCCAAATAGGCTTAAAATAGAACGGCGTGCAGACAGACTTGTGAAAGCCGAGGTGGTGGTTCCAGAGAGACGGAGCGTGGTGCGTGCTGGAGCTCAGGCGACATGTGTCCACTACGCGCTTGAGGATGGGAGCAGTTTCTTGGCATTTTAAACACACTTTTATTGGTTTAAGTGAAGAAAGTGTGTCTGCTATCAAATCCAGTGTGGGTCAGTGTGATGGAGTTTGTCTGTGTGCCACCAGTGCTTGTTTGAAAAGGCTTCACAGACCTTTAGTGTTGGCACGGTTTTTCTGAGACCAAACCATATCCCTTATTTGCCGATACTGAAATTAAATGTCCTCAACTACGCTGTTTCCTGATCTATGTCATAATGTTGTTTTCTTCATCACAAACAGACCATGACTTGTGTTTTGTTTCATTCACACGTTTCACACATGTTTAACACATAAATCCTACACATTTAGACCGAGGTCTTCCTTCAAACAGAAAACTATCTGTTCCACCTTGTGATGTCACATGGTAAAACAGGTAATGCTCCAACATGTTTTTAAACTCCATATGCCTTCACTAGAATCATTTACATAATTTCTAACTTGAAATTGCCAATCTCTACTAAACTAAAGGTAAAAGTGAGATGTTAACTTGAAAACTACCACTTTATGACATCACAAGGTGGAACAGAGTGTTTTGAGTTTTGGGGGACATGGACAGACTGATAATAAAGAGTTACTCAAACATGTGTGAATGAAACAAAACACAACTCCAGGTCTGTTTTTGAGGTAACAGCAACACAATCATCTCAACAATAATCAATTTTGCGTAATATATGACCTTTAAATGGCCACGTTTACATGCTGTTTTTTAAATTCCTAATTAATTGTTCTGAAGTAAATAGTTTGGAATTAAAATATTCTCCTTCGAGTTTACATGGAAGAAATCATTGAGTGTGTACACATGTACATCAGTATCCCGGTTATTAGCCATATCCCGGTTCTGTCAGTATTCGTGTTACTGTGTTTACATGTGCACTGAGAAACCGGGACACTCATATCCGTGTGTACATGATCAAATGGAGTATCCCGGTTTCTTGACATAATCTTACAAATGCACAAGCAAAAAATTAACTTAAATCAATTTCATAAACCAGGAAAAATACAAACCGTGAGCTCCTTTAGCATAAGAGGCTAAGGAGCTCTGAGATCTCCCACAATCCACTGCACACATCAAACCCAACAGATTCTTCATTAAAATCTTCTGCATAAATAAACTCAACTTTACAACATATAAACCAGAACCACTGTAGAGCCACATCAGCCCGTTTGATCAGATCATTCAGCTCTGATCACATTTGTTTACATTTTACAGGAACAAAACTTAAAACTGCATGGCTCATTGTGCCGCTGATGCGATCAGCTTCTTTTGGACTAAATGACACGACTCAGTGGATTATGTGTGTTCTTTTTGTGACAGAAGAGGCACTAATGATGATGGTGAGTCTGTTCTGTGTGTATATTGTACAGGAGATAGTTCATGTTTTAGTTTTTCAGTGATCACACGAGTGCAGGTCGTACGAGTGCAGATTGTACATGTGAAGGTTTAGAGCAGCTCTTCATTTTACAGTCATTTCACTTGTATGGTCACTTTATTTATGTTGGTCACTTTATTTATGTTGGTCACTATTTATGTCACTACTGTTGTTGTGAAAAGACTGAAAAGTGTCTTTTGGACGATTGTGCACTCAACTTTATGTTGCAGTAACCGGGATACTGCGTATACATGCCACAAGTATCCCGGTTACTATCGGAATAAACCAGCTACAGTAACCCGGGTTCTGATAACCAGGATACTGCCTTAACCGGGATACTGAAACCGGGTTACTGCGTATACATGCACCATGAAGAAACCGGGATACTCAAAAAACCCGATCATAACCGGGTTATTGATGTGCATGTATACGCACTCACACTGAATTGAGGTTTTGGAAAACATGGAAAACTCGCTAAATCGTCTTTATTTAATGTGTCTCAGCGTCTGAGAGTGGGGAAAGTTCTGATTGGACAGAGACACCAAGGTATTTATGTCTTTGGGAAGAAAACACACACTTCAGCTGCTACCGGCTTTTCTGTCATCTTGGTTTGTCGTCACGTCACGGACACAAACAGGATCCAAACTTTTTGCGCAGTGGTTCTGATGATAATTGTGCAGCAGTTGGAGAATTGTCTCATCACACTTTACGTCTGTGAGCTGAGGAGGAGAAGGGAAGAGTGTCGGAGAAAGAGGAAGAAGACAAAGTGAGTGTGAGGCTGCTCTACCTCAGCCCACTCCCACATCCCACTCACAAATCCAAAGAGACGTGGATGAAAGTCCCAAGAGAGGACTGGTGGAGCCGGATCGTCAGAAGGGCGACCCAACAAGCATGCGCTGAACGACTTCAATTATTTTTTAAGCAGAATAAAAACTGACATGATCGAGGAATAAATTTATTTGGCTTTAAAATCAGAATAAAACACCCACTTACTTAATTCTGAATAATCATTTTCATCAGGAATTAAGTGTTTACTTCGTCTTTTTAAAGTGAAATTCATTTTTATACAGACTTGCATTATTTTGATTCAGAATTAAAGCTCTCGACATGTAAACGTGGCAAATGTCAGCTGATTAACCTTATTGAATGACTCATGATCTGACCTTGTGATTAACAACCAAACAGAGAGAGGCTTATTAGAGCCATACAAGGGGGAGAGATGTATGGACAGAACCTTAATACAAAACTATCATGTATATTAATTGCCGTGGATTAAATAATGATACTAAACTTCAAATGTTGTGTGTATTGCAGGCGTGCCTCTGTCCACCCAGTGGGGTCCTCAGGGATACTTCTACGCCATCCAGATCGCCCAGTACGGCCTGAGCCACTACAGCAAGAACCTGACGGAGAGAGCGCCCCACGTGGAGGTGTACGATACTGCAGAGGAGCGTGACAGCCGGGCTAGCTCCGCCCCCTGGAGCGTCCCGAAGGGGTGTGTCCTGAACCGGGTCTATGAGAAGAACAAATACAGCACAGTGCGGCAGTTCAACGCTCCAGGTACGACACTGCAGCCCACTTCTAACATTATATGACTGTTTTTATTTTCTTTATTATCTGGATAACAAAAATAAGGTGATATCTTTTGTTAATGCCTTGGTATCATAAAAATATAATTGGACGGTAAAAATAACCACAAAATACTTACCACTTAATATCGTCACACTGCTCAGGCTCTGTAAAACATAAGAGCTGTCGTAGAAAGTACTTTCAAATGCCTTTATTTATTTAGCCAGCGTGTTAGGATGAGAATGTGACGCTGCTCTCAAATAGTAAAAGACATGGCCCAGTCCTGAACCCAGCCTGCAATACTGCTCATTTTCATGCAGTAAATCATGAGCAGTACACTCGTGTTTCTGTGTGTCTTGTAAGCAGCCTTTAAACGTTATAAGAAATGTAGTTATAGAAGACACTGTGCTTCTGTCTGCTATATACAGACCATCTCATGTCATGAAAAAGTTCACTATTTTTGTCACTTATTTCAGAAAGTCAAACAGTAGACTCATGGCACACAGTGAAGCTTTTAAGCCTTTATTTCTTGACATTTTGATGATTATGGCTTACAGGCCATGAAAACCCCAAACTCTGTTTCTCCGAAAATTACATAAGATACAATAAGAAAATGATATATCCCCCAACACACAGAGCCCCCCCAACATACAGAGCAGAGTGTGTCCTGTGTGGGCCCTGTGACAGTGTGACAGTGTGACAGTGTGACAGTGTGCAGAGGACAGGCCTGATCATTACAGCAGCTCTGGGCTCACTCAGGTGGACATGCCTCCTGTCGCCTGTCACCTGTCCTATGTCTCCTGTCCGACTGCAGGTGCCTCCTGTCGCTGTCACCTGTCATATATCACCTGTCAGACTGCACACATTAGAGTCAGTGTGTCCAGGCTCTAAGCAGAGACACGAGTGCTCCATCACCCTCAGCGGCCAGGCTCTGTAGAGATGTTACCTGGTGCAGCTTTAATGGCATGATCGTTCTCTTTCAGTTGTTTCTGTGGCTCACTCTAGAGCATATTTAGTTTGGTTTAAAGTCTGATGTTCCACAAGTTCAGGTAGGAGCTTCTCGTGATCATTTGTGGTGCACTCCTCGTGTGTGTGGGGTCAGTGTGACTCTGTAACCATCATTTATCAGGTGGCTGCTTTAAAACCTTAATTTTTAATCTTCCAACACGTTATCATTTCATGATTGTCGCTTGTGCTGACCTTTACCACAGCCAATCAGAGCGGTCAGTCTGCGTGACCCTGTTGCCAGGTAACAGCTCATAAGCTGTAAGAATAGCAGAGGACCCAAACAGAGTTTGTGTGAACTTTTTCATCCTCTTTTTTTTTGTTTTGGTTATGTAAATCATGTCTGAAAACTGCACTGTCCTTCATGTGTTCGGCACATTTTTATTGTGTATTAAAAACTCTGAAGACTTTAAAATCCATTACATACAGCCAGCCTTAACTAGTTTTGTTTTAGACCTTTTTTTAGTTAAGTTAAAGTTTGTACATTAAAGACGGGGGATTTGGCTTCTGTGGAGGATTAATTGCCAACACGTCACATATTTAGATCACCATGTTACTTTTTATTGTTTTAAAAATGAACTTGACTGAAAACAACTTATTAATATGTTTCACTTTTGTTTTTGACCCTGTGAGTCTCACCTCCCTAATGCTCCCGCATTAAGTCACCCCCCCTTCAGAGCACTATCACAACACAATCAGTGTGTATCCCACTAATGAAACTACTGCACATTACATCAGGTTTGTCAAGTTGCTGTGGACAATTTTGTGTCATGTTTTTGTATATTAATGGTGAATTGTCATGTGGGAGCATGGGGGAGGTAGGATTGTGGGCGGAGCCTTGTACAGAATCTTACATCTTAAGGAGGATTTGAATAGGGCCCAGGAGAGATCTGTAAAACACCCAAACATGAATGAATGACATCTGAATCTTTTCAGACATGTTTTTGATGAAACGTAACATGCATAATACCCCCCCTTTAATCAGCTAGTCAACTTTTGAAGTAATTATCAATTTATGTATTAATTCATTGTTATCTGGACTCCAAAACATGCCATGTGCTGAGAGAAGGTTTGATTTTTCTGTGAGTGCACAGTCATCCTGGTTGAACAGATTTAATTTGATGTAATAAGACTCTTTGCTGGTCGTAATCTGCCCTGAAACTCTCAGAATGTTTGAATGTTTATTTACACAAAGCTCTTCTGTATTAAGAGATAAAGAACAGCTACATAACACGTTTGAATCAGTTTTTGTTTTTTTTTTTGTATAGTTTATAGGAAATAAATGCTGTTTTCAGTCTCTGCTTCAGTATTGGTTCATATCAGGTATGGGCAGACACTTAAAGCCATAGTATGGGACCTGAAAACGCTGGATCTGTGCATCCCTAACATTATCCTTAGCTGCATCAGTCTTTGTGCGTCCAGACTGTCGTGGTGCTGCTGGACGCTCGTCTGTGCACACTCTCTGCGCAGTAATGACAGTTTGGAGTGGGCTGCTCTCCCACAGACTCTATTGTGTGTGAGAAGTTCAGATGACAGCTGCTTTCTATAAGACGAGCCCCTCCCTCCCTGAGCGTCCCAGCTGTGAGCCAGAAGAAACTCTACATCCCTGTTACAGACAAGAGTCCACACTCAGCAGCTCTTTTCATCACTTTATCATTTATCATTAATACACCACGTTTAACTGGAGTTTGGATCATTTCAACACTTCAAGAGGAGCTGTTTGACTTCTGTAGGGTTTTAACTGCTGCCACATAATATATTTTCATCACCATGTTACCTTTTATAGTTTGGAAAATGCTATAATCACTGAGTATACAAGTAAGGCTGTGCAGGTAATTGAATTTTGATCACAATTTCTATTTGTGTCGAACGTTCTCCAAACTCATATAATCGAGTTGAAACGAAACCTTAACAAAGTTTATTTTGGGATATTTTTTTATGTAAATAAGTATATTTATTAGATTTGTTTACAGGTAGAGACTGAACAGCTGGATGTATAGCTTTAGATACATTTATCTATATTGACCAGCCCTATATACTAGTATACTACGGGATGCAATACTTAGTATGCTAATATACTAAGTATTGCATCCCGCTAATGACACCACTGCACATCGCATCAGGTTTGTCAAGTTGTTGTTCAGTTTTGTATCTCAGTTTTGTATATTCAAATTCAAAAAAGTTTATTGGCAGTTCTTCATATGAAACCTATGAAGAATCAAAATAGTGTTTCTCACTCCCAAGCGTCTAAATAAATAAATAATAAATGGAAAAGTCCAGGTGTTCTTTGGGATATTTGGTATATTTGTGTGTATTTCAGGAGGATTGTCGTGTGGGAGCGTGGGTGACACCGGTTTGTAAATGGAGCATAGAACAGAATCTTACAGCTAACCATAAGGAGGGTTTGACTAGAGCCCCGGATAGATCGCTAAATTACTCAAACATGTATGGAGGATGACATCTAAAACCTCTCAGGCGTGTTTTTGAGGAGGAACATTGTAACACGGTAGACAGCTCCAAAAATGGATTTTGCATAATAGCCCCTCTTTAAATGTCCTCACTATGAAGCATTGATCTGCTAACAGCATGTTGCTAACTGTATGCACCTGCTTGACTCCCCGCTGAGCCCAGCAGGAGGTGTCAAACAACTCCCAGTGTTCAGTCGAGCTTTCAAACGCTCCTCTTTTTCATCCTCACGCTGTACACATTAGTGAAAACCTTTAAAGGAGATGTCACTTTGCTGGTGCAGAGTGCTCCTCCTGCTCTTCTGCGTGGACTGTGGAATTAAACGTCTCTGTCTCCATGGAGACAAGTAGATGATCCAGACCAAGTTACTGGTCAGGTCTGTGGTGAAGCAAGCTCAGTCACAGTAATCATGTTTTGGAGGCATTTCTTATTGAATGTACGCCGAGTGATATTCCAAAAATAACCCTGTCATGATGTTCTGGTTGTGCTCGTGAGGTGTGGGGTTTATGTCTGATGTGGGAATACAGCTGGATCAGACGTGCAGTGCAGTTTCAGCTTGTGACTTTAGGGGGCAACAAAAGTGTTCTTCCTCTGAGAGTTAGATCCACCTGTCACTCATTCAGAGGATGAGTGAGACTGACCAGTGGGTTTGGGAAAAGAGTCAGTTTGAGCATAGAGTTTTATCTAAAAAGCACATGGACCCCAGATTAGTTCATGTACCATTCATTCTTTTGAATTTCAGTTAAGAATGAAAAACAATAAAATGGGAAAACAGTTTGAAATAGTCTGAGGAGCTTGAAGACGATTCTGAGGTGAAGGAAGTCTGGGAGTCCCTGCTCAGACTGCGACCTAGCCCCGGATAAACGGAAGAAAATGGATGGATGGAAATGATTTGAACACTGTAGCTCACCCATCACAATATAATATAATAACAAAGAGAAAAAATATTAAATTTAATAATACATTCTAAATAATAATAAATTCTAAATGAGTAGTAAAAAAATAACAAGAGACAGGTATCCAAATAAACTTTAAATTAAATATTAGAATTATGGAATTAGAGGTCAAAATCAGTTTTTGTTTTTTTTGACACTACAGCGGAATAATGAAATAACAAACTGTTTTCCCATTTTATTGTTTTCTGTTTTAAATTGAGATTCAAAAGAACGAACTGTACATGGACCCAGCTCAACTGAACGTGTTGGATTCAGTGAATGAAGTGGGGTATGATTAATGTCGTACTGGTACATTCCAGGCCAAGAAACTCCCTGGGGGTGTGATGCTAACTGTAAGCACTGCTCTGTCTGAAGCTCTTTTCCTCAAGTTAGATTAAAATTAGAGTTTTGTTTTAACACAATCTGACTATAAAGAATTGACATACCTGGTGTTGCTGATCTGTTCTCTTAAACAATCCCTTAAATAACAGAAACTAGTTTTAGTCTGTAGATATTTTAGTCACGCTCACTGTTTTTATAAAATCAAACTCTTAAACAGGACCGTGAAAACTTGTGAAATGTGTT